AAAAAAAAAAATTGCTTCAACTTTGATGACCCAGTTCTCACTCACTCACTGGCCTGTTATAGTGAGCAATATAAGTAAACAAAAAGACTTATTTGCATGTTTGTTTGCATATTTTTTCAGTGTACAATGGTTTTTCAGCAAATATGACAATTTTGAATACAATAAATTCACATTTAAAACCTGGCAATGCTGGCACAGAGTCCTCTCACCCCCTCCCCTGGAGGGGACAAGTCCGAAGGGTGAGGCCCACTGTGGAGTGGAGTCGTGTTGACTTTCACTGCTTCAGGGATTAATCAGGGTCAGAGAGAGCTTGAGAAACAGCCCTGCCATTATTTGCTTTGTAAATTAGTCGCCGTTGTCCAGAAAAGAGGGTATTTTTAATTTTTTTTTTTGCAGTGATCCATTTATAGAAGCTGACTGGAAGTATTGTCACTGAACTACACATCTTCACTTGATTCTTGGTACTTGCGCCTGTGCTAATCCAATGTTATATACATTTCAACAGCCCTTCCTTTTTTTAATGTTTTCTGAACATAGCAGCTAAGCACAGGGGCTGCGTTTGTTCCCCATCCTTTTCTCCAGAAGTTGTCTAAGTTAATTACAGTGTTTTTTCAGGTTTTGTTCTAGGAGGAACTTTTTGGTTATGCAAGTTGTCAAGCATTGGAGCAGGCTACCTAGAAAAGTTGTTGCATCTCCTTCCTTAGAAATATTAAAAGAGCTGGTTAGACAGACTTGGATGGTTTGGTTGTGTTTATTTTGCATTGTGAGGTTCCTCCCAGCCTTATGTTTTAACAATTTTATGTGCTAAGGATTTTTTAGAATTATTTTGCAGGAAAGTAGTATTTGGAGGCCTCACAACTCCAAACCAGAACCTTCTTGGGCTGTGTATATAACTAGACCTTCCTAAGTAACAGTTTAGAGGACCATCTGGTATAAACATGTTATATTGTAGGATGAATATAAACGCTTGTCGAAGTCAAAAGCCTTAATCTGTGAGCAGTTTTGGCAGGAATAATTGAAATTTAAAAATCCTTCATTCTCTCTCCCATGAAGCAAAGAGGATGTAGCTCCATTTTTGCTCTGTACACAGTACAGCAAAAACTACTGCCTGTTATTTTCCTCTTTTCTTCCCTCCAAAACTCAATTTCTCCTTGTAAACCATGGAGCATTTAGCTCAGAGCTGAAATGTATGCAGTTTGTTGAAGTGGTCTAAGACACTCGTTCTGCTTCCCTAGCATCATGCTTTCCTGTATCAGCTGATTTAAATACATTTGTTCCTCTGTTTTTGCAACACCAAAAGCATACTCAGTACTTTGGCAAGACAAGATTCCTGTTGCAATGTCACACAGAGTTTAACATGTAGATTAAAAGAATGTGGGGGTAGTACAGAAGGGCAGGGGAAAAGGAAGTCTGCAATGTAAGTGAAAAATATTTAGCAAATTATAGTTTGCAGATTTTTTGTTTTATTTTCTATACATTTTACATGTAAGCCTACTATTAAGTGTTTTTAAACCAGTTTATTGAGGACCTAATTATGGCACCTTAATACAGCTCTGATCCAGTAAATCACTTAAATGTGTGAGTTTTGTATGCTCTTATCACAAAG